GGGGGGGGGGGGGGTGGGGGGCGGAGGGGCACCAAACGACGGCGCGTGGGGTTTCCATCCGGCGTGCTTCTTTGTTCGTCCCCGTGCATGCAACAGCGGTTTCCCCGACTATGATTTGTGGGCTGGGGGAACTCATCGGTACTTGGCACGCTGGGATGTGTCCACAAAACAAACGATAATGTCTTGAGATTCAATTGGTAGGTAATCTTTATTACGCGCAGGGCCGGCCGCTCCGGGGGGTGGCCCGCCATCCGTCGTTAAACTCTGCCCGTTGCCGCAGTGTTTCGGCAACGTGAGGACAGTTATGAGTCGTAGTGCGCGAGATATGGACTGGCTTGGAGACCACCCTGATGCGACGAGCTTTACTGGCTGAAGAAGTGCCTAGGAGGTAGGCGACTTATGGGGCTTATTAGCGCTAGTGCTCCGTACCGATCCGGCCTGTAGAGCATGCCGTGAGAAATAACGAGCACGTTCAGGCGATGTAGGACACGCAAGGTTACGTTGGGGTCGCCACTGTGTCTGGTAAAACACGAGTTGCGAAATGGATCCGCGCATGAATGTCCGAATCGGTTCAGAGGAAATGAGATATCTGGGGCAACTGGCACGTCAGCAGCAGGCAGATCACCCGCAGTCAGCAGCCAGCAGCAGGCAGATCACCCGCAGTCAGCAGCAGGCAGATCACCCACAGTCAGCCGCCAGCAGCAGGCGGATCACCCGTAGTCAGCAGTCAGCAGCAGGCAGATCACCCACAGTCAGCAGCAGGCAGATCACCCGCAGTCAGCAGCGCACTAGAGCTTTAGCACCGCGCTGGGTCGCGGGTCCCTTTCCAACATGTGAGTCAGGCCGCTCAAGCCATGATCATCCCACCATGAGGGTCAGGTTTCTTAAGCCACGATCAGTAACGGGAGGCGCGCCGCTTCGAGGCGGCGTGACGGGCGGACGCCGGTGGCCCCGACGCGCGATCCGCACCGTCGCCCTGCACGTCAGGCCACCGGACGGGCCCGCTGCGTGACAGGTCGACACGGACAGATGCCACGGCTGGACGCGGTGTGTGACAGGCGCGCGTGCTACCCTCGGCCCACCGCCGCCGCTCCGGGGCGCCATGCCGCAACAGCCGGCGACTTGTCCTCTCCGAGCCGAGCGCCGGTTGCGTTACGCATTCCGCTCCGGGGCCCGTTAAATCCTGACGGAGAATGCGGCCGATTGGCAGCCGGCTCGTTAGAAGAGGCCAGTTCGGGCCGCGTCGGCGGCGGTCACGTGTTCAGTCGGGCAAGGACGGCGGCTCAGTCTGCCATTGTTACCGGCTGATGTATGCCCGCGGTCCAGCTGCAGTCGTACTCGCCCGCGATCAGCTCGCTTTCTCGCCGGGCTGTGAGCGGCGGCTGTCCGGGGTGACTCGGCCAGCATCATCAGCTAACGGCCGCTCTGGCGGCGCTCAACAGTAGGCGTGACCCGGTGCCTCCGGTGTCCTGCACTAAACACGCCCGGGCCCGGCCGACCGGCGCGACCCATCGCGGCCGGAGCGGCGGCCGTCGGCGCCGGTGCGGGTCCGGTGCCGCCGCTCGCCGCGTGCGGTCATTACGACCGCCCCGTTGGCGGGAGGTAATAGATCGGCGTGTAGGCGAGCGGGCGCGGCCGGCCGGCGCACGCCCCGTCCAGGCCCGGGTAATGGCCTCTGCATCGATTACGAGCGCCGAGGTGCTTTGAAGTGGCCGGCCGCGACCTGCCAGTCATCGGAACTGCCGGCTTCCAGCCTCCCGGGTGTGGCGCAGAGTGGGGCCGCTCCCAGCTTTCTTACCCCAGGCCGGTGCAGACGGAGGATGGTCTCAATCGGGCACGCTCACACTGCCGTCTCGCCGTATTTACACATGTCAAACGACTGCTCAGCTTTTCCCACCGTCGCGAAATAAAGCTACTTGTGTCCACCCTCAGCCTTTCTGTGCTGTCCACAACCCTCACACACGTTCAAGAAGGCCAGCGGCTACACCCATTGCCACAGCACCGAGCCGTTTGTGGCCTCGTAGCTTCTTCTTTCCACCCACCCATCCCTGGCTCTAAACACTTCTCCCCGTCTCTCCACCATCTCCCGCGGACGGTTCGGAGCCGACCCGTCCGCAGTCGGTCTCTGCACTGCGCCCATCTCGGGCCGGGGTTTGCTCGGCTCTGGCACCTCCTGCGGTGGCCGTCAGCCGGCCCGTTTGTCAACATACCAGGCGGAGCCGGCGGCCCGCCGGGCGCGGCCGGCGCGGCCGCCTCGCCGCCCCTGTACGTACACACCGTCATGTATGATGCATGCGACGGCTGGTGCGGGCGGACGCTTGCGAAAGGCGGCGGTATCTGCGGCGATAATCGGCACCACGGCGCCGAGAAGTGGCGTAGGGCGCGGCAGAAGGGGTGGGGTCGGAGCCGACGGCCGCGCACGACGACAGGCGCCGAGTTATGGGCGGCGCTGGGCGGCCCGCGGTGGCACTGCGGTCGCTGTCTCAACGGTGGGCATGTCTGTGGGAATACCGCGAGCTGGAGCAGGCGCCGGACGCCGGCCAGAACTGGCGGGGCAGGCACGGGACCGTGCGTCAGGGCTGGTGGGGCAGACGCGAGACGCGGCCAGAACTGGTGGGGCGTGACCTGAAATTTCGCGGGGCGCTTCGTCCGAGCTGTGAGACACTGGGCCTAGGCTGCTGGAGTCCCTCTCTGGACTGGCGGACAGTGTGCTGAACCCAGACAGTACGATACCGACCTGTTAAAAGCGTGCCCCGGCCTGGCCGCGGAGGCGTGACCCGGGACGGCGGCAGGCCGGCGGCCTGGCCTGACCTTACTGCAGAGACGGCCGCCGGACCGCGCCGGAACCGGCGACGGAGCCGGCGAGAGGCTCCCGGGAGCCGGCTCAGTTCTCGCCGAAGAGCGGCGCCGCGCACGGTCCGGGAGAAACATCTTCATTACCGGTGATTTACCGGGGCGTATTTCACCGTTAATGACAGCCGGCGGCGGCGGCGGGCCGCGGCGCCGGCCTCTCTCCGATAAAGAGGCGGTCTGCCAATCAGCCGGTGCAGCGGACAAACAACGGCCGGCGGCCGGCCAGTCCATCGCCGCTCTGAGCGTGACCCGCCGCCGGCGCCGGTCCGGCCCGGCCCGGCCCCGCCAGACGGCCGCGGGGCGGTCGGCCCGGCCAGCAGCGAGGACGAGGAGGGCACGGGCAGCGGTGCAGGCACGTGAAAGGCGTGGCTCTGTCTTAAGGCAGGAAGGCTGCATGTCCGTTAGCCTTATGTCTGACAATGGATTTGGAATGAGAGGTAGATGGAGTAGAGGGGAGGATGCTGTTTAAGGGTGTGATGGGTGGCATGTGTTACGAGCTAAACTTCCCACAGGCTTGTGAGATAACAAATCTGGGCTCGCGTTTGCCAACAACTGATATAATCGCGTGAGCGGTGGCTTAAGCATAAGCAATGCAAAAAACTAGAAACACATTTCCAACCAAGCTTTCTTGTTCGAGAGCGCTTAGGAGGCTCTATCCCCAAGTCTACCCTGGCTGATACACGAGGGCATTGCGCAGCCAGCGGCGTGACACGATCAGCGCCCTGACCGGCCGCGGCCGCCCCGAGCCCCCGCGCCGTGGGTCGGATCGCCCACCAGGGCATATCGTTCATCTGTTCCAGATCGGTCTGCCACGGCGCGAACCGGACTGGGGTAGGCTGGAGCGGTGAGCGTGAGCCCCTCCCCCCCGCCGGGCAGCCCATTACGAGCCGGTGATATTTTGTCTCCGTCGGCCGTCCGGTCCAGAGATAGGATGGCGTGTATGGATATAGATGTCGGCTGCTTTACATCAGTGTAAGGTCATGGTGCACTGAGGGGCGTTGGCGGTAGCGGCGGCGGCTTCGGTGCGCCGCGGACGTAGTCTCTCCTATCTGAGCGGCCCGGCGAGGCCTATCCCTGCTCCCGTCCGCCGTGCTCCACCGTCGCTGGTGATTGGTCAGCCTTTCGTTGGAAGCGTGAGCGAGCGACGATCAGCTCGTTCGCCAGATCACCACGCGGCCAGATAACATCGCCCCCACACGGGAGAAGCCTCCCGATGGGCCCAAATTGCCCAACACGCGGTGGCCCAGTTGATACGGCAATGGGGCGCACGTTTCGCGTGGGCCGGCCTGGGCCGGCCGCCGCGGCGGGACCGCCGGCCCCAGTTTGGCGTGCCCACGAGCCGTGTGCAGTGTGAAAGGGTGTCTGAGATGGGTCGCACCGACCACCTCCGCGGTAGGGCTGGCCGGGAGCGCGCAGACTTCCCCTCAGTGCGGTGACGCCAGTGCAGCGCGCAGTTGCGTGTTTGTGGTCCGGGTGCGCTTCCATGCGGCGAATCAGCCTGCACGTGTGCCGTCCACCGCATGTGTTTTCCTGCGCCGACACCCAGCGTGCGCGTGTGTGATTTAGTGAGGTCGAGTGGTGAGCATGGTCGCGTGTTTGCTTGCGGAGCGGCGTGGCAGGAGGGTGCGACAATGCACGGGATCACCTCGGTGACACCGTCTCCCGCCGCGCCGGCTCTGGTTTATGACCGGGCGCGCCCGCGCCACGGCCGCTCATGAATGCTTCGTTGGCCCACCATACAGCCGATCTCACCACGCTGTCCGCATGTTGTGTAACAGGCCGCCGGCGCGCCGGCTCCGGCAGCCAGCAGCCCTTCAGTGCGCAGGCCTGCGGACCACCACAATCACTGCGATGAGCCAGTAGCGTCGGGCGCGTTTGGGAAAACGCCCACGACACCTCGCTGACCGCCTGCCTGCTGGTTACGCCGCCGCGCTCGGTGAACATCTGCCGCAGCCCCCACCCACTGTCGTCTCCGGCAACCCACCACGCTGCGCCTGCCCGTCGGGCGCCACGCGCTGACGCCGCGTCCGTCCGTTTCAGAGCCCCGGAGCCGCCGTGCCTGCCGCGCCGCGCCGCGCGCGCGCTCGATGTTCAGCCCGCGGCCGCGCCTGCTGCACGGCCCGTCCGTCACCGCCCGTCGCCCGGAGATGCGCGAGAAGGCCCACAGTCCGCGCAAGCTGGTGGCCGAGCTGACGCTGCGCACCGACCTGCTGGCGCCGGCCGGTGAGCTGACGCCGTACGACCTGCGCACTGCTGAGCTGCCGGCGCCGGACGCCGACGGCGACCAGCAGGTGCCGCTCGACCTCAGCGTACGCGCGCGTCTGCACGAGGACGAGAACCGCAACCTGGTGCCCGTGTCACCGGGCGCAGTGGCCGCCATGGAGGTGGAGCCCGCGGCCGGCGCCGGCGCCAAGCTGGCGTACGGTCGGCCGCTGTACGCCGGCGCCGAGACGGAGCTGGCTGGTCATCTTTACAGCCCGGCGCTCATCGACATCTACGGCAAGAGCAAGCTGTACGGCTCGCCGCTGCTGGCGTCGCCGCCGAGCTACCCGTTCATCCTGCCGGGGACGTTTGAGATGATCCGCTCACAGCTGGACCACATCCACCTGCGGAGGAACACCGGCGTGCCCCTGCCGGGCGTGCTCAAGAACAAGGACCGCTACTCATGCAAGTTCTGCGGCAAGAACTTCCCGCGCTCGGCCAACCTGACGCGCCACCTGCGCACGCACACGGGCGAGCAGCCGTACAAGTGCAAGTACTGCGAGCGCTCGTTCAGCATCTCGTCCAACCTGCAGCGCCACATCCGCAACATCCACAACAAGGAGAAGCCGTTCCGGTGTCCGCTCTGCGACCGCTGCTTCGGCCAGCAGACCAACCTGGACCGGCACCTGCGCAAGCACGAGTCGGACGGGCCGACCATCCTGGACGGCGGGTTCCGACGCGCCGCGTCGCACCGCTCCGTCTCGACGTCGGGCTCGCCGGCGTCCGAGGACTCGGCCGCTGAGATCGACGTCGAGGAGGTGGACGAGGCCGAGGCCGTCTCCTCGCCCGATACCGTAGACGCCAAGCCGGCGTCGGACGCCGAGGCCAACTGAGCGAAGCTTCCTCGCCGGCGAGCAGCTCGCCTTCGGATCTGGAACGGAGCTGGGACGGATCTGATATTGGATATAGAACCAGACCTGAATTCGGATCTGGAACGGACCTGGGACGGATCTGAGATCGGATATAGAACCGGATCTGCACCAGGATCTTTGATCGGATCTAGAATCAGATGTAGTGTCGGATCTTTTGCCCCAGTGTGTGGCCGGATTTGCTACCGGATCCAGGACCGGATCTGGACCGGGCCTAACTGCACGAGAGCTGCGTCGGGGCACGCGCGGTCCGGAGAGGCGACGCCGTCCGACGAAGGCGGATCTGACACATGCGCGACCTCCTCGCAAAAGACACCAAGCTTTAAGACGTACACTGCGAGGAAGGCCGCACGACACCGAGTACCTGACACCTTGTGAGGACGCCCGCTGGCGCGGGCGCACGCCGTCTCTCTCCCGTGCTCGCAGGGGCCAACGCTGCCCGCAGCCATGACGTGAGGCTAAAGACTGAAGTACAAAGCAACTGCGCCGCGCGTGTGGCCCCGCGCGGTATGCCACTGCCACAGCCTGGGTCGCCGAGGGCTGTCGCGAGTACCTGCCGGGTGGCGGTGGAGGGTGTGGGTGTGGAGCGCGGCCGCCGGGGCCCGTGAGCGGAGACGGGCTCCCGCGGAGCACGTGCAGTGTTGCCGCCTGTCGTCTGGAAAGCTGGGCGGAAGCCGTTGACCTACGAGTGCGGAGGTCATCCCCGTGCGAGCGGCGCTCGCTCGCGGGGGCCTTGGGTATTTATTTCGTATTTAAATGATAGTGTTTGGATTATGTCGCGACAGGTAGGCTAGGCGCTACAGCCGGGCGGCGCGAAATGTGACGTGGGGTGTCGGGCGCCACCGCTTTGCCTGAGTTTGAGCGAGGCTATTGTCACGCGCACACCGAGGTCGGAGCCCAAACGAGTGCACTGCTGTGTTGATTAAAAAGAAAGATTGTTTATGACAAGGCTCAGCCGTGATTGCCTTACAAATCGGAGCTTTCAGTTGTGGTGCAGCCCCGTGTCGTATCGATGGCAACGCTCTCGAACTCGTTTCGTTTCCTGCGAAAAATTCGTTGAGGTATTCAATGAACTGTGTTTCTTGTATTGTTAGTCAGAGGTCACCTTGGTATTGCTGGTGGGAATCACATCTATAGGCTACTGTTGATCATCTACGTACGCTGCACCTCTCACTCTCTCCCTCTCCCTCTCTCTCGATCTCGCTGTCCTTTAGAAAGATAGAATGGGTAGCTGACATTCAAGTAGGCTCTAGTCAAGCTGCAAATCTAAATCCAAAGGAAATGCATATGAAATATGTATAATTGTGATGGGAATAAAACACAAAACTGCGATGAGCACTTGTTTCTGACGTCATCAGCGGTGCAGAGGTGAAAGTTGACACGACCTGCTGTGTTCGAACGACAAAAATCGAACACACGAATCCTAGATTGCTCTTAGTTGCACATACTGCCGTTGAAACCCATACAGTCATCACATAGCCTCATACTCCAGACCGCACTGTGTGGCAAGACCACTGCTTCAAAAGGGACCGCACGGTGTTCCCTCTGATAAAGGAATGCAGTCATGCGTTGACTTCGATTACAATTAAGTGAGGAGAACGCTTTTATAGCTACCACACTGATCGTGAAATCCGCTGTCTTGGTAATTATTAGGGTCGGAACGTGGCCAGTTTTCATTAGCTGTCGAAGAAAATAAGTACTTTATGAAAGTTATTGCCTAATGCCACCCTACGAACCAGTTTACTTAATCATAAACTTAAGAGCAAATTACGCACTCCACGTACCCAACGGTGCAAGTTTGTAACGACCAATTTCGGCACTACGCAAGTAAAACAACTTGTATCCTTCCACCATCAGATAGTATAAAATAGTTATTTGTGTTGAGACATGATTGCTCCCATACATCGCTTCTTCTGCGCCTGTCGAAATTTCAGGGAAGGACAGCCATGCTCCCGCCGGTTCAGCGGAAAGTATGCGGCCGCATCACCACTCATTTTGGAGCGCTATTTGGCGCAGAGGAAGCCAAAGCTGCTCACATTGGACTGTTACCACTCTGATCTCCATGGTTTTGTGAATCTTGCTCAGTATTCATGGAAAAAGGTACAATCCTTATTTATAGGTATGTAGGTTCGCCAAAAACCGGCATGTCCTGTAAAAGTCAGTTAGTTCGTAAATCATAACGTTAAGGAATCATATGCATTTAGTTGGGGAAAATATACCGAACACAGATATCGTTTCAGGAGATATCGCAGATGTAATATGGAGTAGCCCGACGGTATTGACATTGTCCGACGGTATTGACATTGTCCGACAGCCCCGGACTCCTCGCGGCTCGAACACCAGCGCGCCATCCACGCGCACCTCGCCAGCCGGATACACCGGATCCGAGCTGCGCCTGCGCCTCAGGATAGCGACGGCCGTATGAACTTGTGATGGAATGAAATGGGACGGTCATGCATGTTTGCCATGCATGCAGGGTAACACAGAGGGTGGAAGGAGAAGCTTGGGCCATCCGAACATTTTTACTTCCTCGATTGTTTAGGGCAAAGCATGCAAGTTCGTTTATAATTCATATTTAATTCATTCATTTTTGTAAAAGCTAACCAGACAAAAATATGTTATGTCTTTTACATGACAACAGGAAATGGCACGTTCATGTGCAAAAATTTGGGCTCGCCCAAAATTTTAGGATAGGGCGAAAACATCAGATTTTAGATTAGCATTTATAAACTTGCTACATCTACTTATTAATGCCAACTTAACGCCTTGTTCATTCTCATGCTCTGAACACGAAAATAAACATGTTTTAAGCGAAGTTGGCGCGACAAACTTATCATTATTCCGTTGTTCTAATTTTGTTCTGGGGATGACAACACCACGTGACTATCTTGATCACTTGATCGCCCCTTTTGCAGACTGCATCATCAATTGAGTCTGGCTGGTATGGATGATGATATGAGGGGCTCCGAGCCGTGCAATTCTTGCATTTTTGCTACATAATCTGTTAGAAGTAAGCTGTATCATATCGCGCATAGTTCTAGATCGCAGCCAGGCATGTCTAGTTTGAACCTGCAATACCCGCGGAACAGATTGGTGGCGACCTCCTCTACACCAAAGGCCCGTGCACAGACCTTCTTTTTACTGGAGTCACCACATTTGATGCAAATTATCCAACATTGAGGTTATAAAAGCAACTGTCTGCATGGTTATTTGTTAGTTAATTCAATGGCTGCACAGCCTTGCTGTCATAAACATTATTATGGATAAAAACCATGATTTAAAAAAATATGATTTCGGGGAGCGCATTGATCAGCAGAGATTTGGCAACACAATGGTAGACATCAGAGGCGCAGTTCCACCCGATGAGTTGAGGGGCTGAACATTGAAAAATGGCCCAACCCATCCCAACATATGCCAGGAAACAGATTTGTCCCCAGTTTTGGCCGCTTTCTTCCCAAAGTTGGGAGGGGGAGGCTGGAGCACAAGTGGGGTGGGGTGAGATGGGGGGGGGGGGGCTGTAGCCCCCAAATGAACAGGAAACCACATCCCTGGCGACTAAACTCTCTTTTGCTCTAAGCAGCTTGGCTAGGACCCAGACTATGCATTCGGCGACCTTCCCGCGTGATTTCCAGTCGCGGTATGCAAATTATATTGATGCCGTTTCTAATCTGACCACTGAGATCTGCCAGTTGTCTTAAGACAGACTCAAAAACCGGCGATACCACGGTTCGCGCCGGAGGTCGCTCGGGTTCCTTGATTTGAACTGTGCTGATTCGGTGGCACTGTCACCCTGGATCTCCGAGACATGGTGCAGCTTCAATACGTATTTGGGTGATTTCCCCCAAAATTCTGGCTGTATATTCCGTTTCTGAGCTGCAGCATCATTTGCCGGGCTGTGCATCGAATGTCATCGCTATCAGTTCCATGACAAAGAAGCGTCGCGCGTCGGCGCACATCCTTTTGTAGAGCTCCAGCGACTACAGGGGTCATATTAGCGCTCAGGGGTCACGGCTCTTCCGAATTCAAACCGCGCAGCCCCGGCCCGCCTTGCCTTCCCACATGTTGCCGAAGGTGCCAAGCGCTCGGTCGTTACGTCCCTTAAAATATGAAGTTAATGCTTACTATTGCATGCTCGTTAACATGATTGGCGTACACGCAGAGTCGTCGTGAACCGCACCACCTAAGCTTACCCAAAGGTTTTATTAACTGTCGTGCTGAGGAAGGGTCAGTTGGGCGGCCATTTTTCGTCTATGGAGAGCCCTCAGATGGTGCTTTACTGCGTGTGTTTAGTCTACATATGGATATTTTCACTTTGAAAACATTTTCAAGATAAAAGGTAAGTTGCTTGCCTTCGGTTGATGTCGACTGGAAATGCTGCCTATCTGAGCAAGCGTAGGAAACGCTCGACATTAATTTTGCAGCGCACGCCCTGAAACCTGACAGCCAACCAATAACAATAATAGAATCGCACCTGCAGGGTACTACGCGTCACACGCCCGCTCAAAACTGGAATCGGGTGAAAGGTGCACACTACACACGTCTTTGGTATGAAAAGCACGGCCCATCCGCTATCAATGTCTCAGGGGAAAAGATATCAAAGCTTAGAGATAATAACCTCACCAGTCTTCCTGTTAGCAATAAAGGGATATCTGTTTAAACAGATACACATGTGTATGCTTATATATATATATATATATATATATATATATATATATATATATATATATATATATATTATGCATATATATACATATATGTGTGTGCGTGTATATAAATATATATACTAATGCTGTTCTTATATGGATAGATACTGGCGTGAATATGGACAATGCAAGGTATATTACATAAACATATTATATAGTCCATCTAATCCATATAAATTCGATTATATTCGCGCTTAATTTTATATACTCTATATAAATTGTAATACATGATCGATGACATGCAACTACGCCAAGAAAGCCTTCGCTCTACGTGCTAAAATATCGACTACGTGGAACGGAGCAGTAAATATAGTGTACCTCACGTGGGACTTCCCTCATTATCAACGACCCCTAATAAATTGAAGGTTATTCCTCAGATCCTTTGTTTCAGTCTTGCCACTGGTATGGAAATGCCCCAATTGTCCCTGGCGTCAGTGTGGATATGTATCTCGAAGGTACCAAAGCACTTTTATGTGCAATGATCTTAGACAATCAAGCGCAAGTTTGTATTCAGCTTCTACACACATACCTGTTTATGGCTTCAAGCTTACGTCACTCCGTGCTCGTTACGATGTCATGCAACTTCGCGGGTACTCTAGATGAAATGCATCGTCAGTTTGTTGATGATTTCAGTTACTGGTGTTTCGGGTGCGGAGTACGTTTCGCGCATGTGGCGTGCAGTTTGTCACCATACGTTGAAAACAATGCCATTTAAAGTCAGTGTCAAAGGCCTGGTACAGCTTGTAGCTTTTACGTTCGTCGTCGAACATCCTGTCCTGTTTTTAAGGGATGATTATTGAGGTTTTGTCTCAGCTTGTATGTCGTTTGCAAAGCTAATTACAACGGAGCCCACCACAAGTTTTGAAAACAAATCTGGTTAAAGCTGGGTGGCAAATGCACGTGCTTCCTGTCGACTGTAGCGTAATGCTTTTAAGCTGGATTTAGGCCAACACTGAATTTGACCACCCTTCTTTCCTCCTTAAGGCTTCATTCCGCGTCCCAATATCACCTCGTCTATCCGAAGCAGCTTGCATGCACTAGCTTCGAATGGGCCCTCTTCGAAACCCCTCTGAAAGGAGCCCCGCCCGAGCGCACACACGCGCACCCAGAAGAGGGGTCCTGCACGGGCTAAACCTCGGCAGCGCAGGACTCCCAGATGCATGCAGTCGCACCCCACCAGAGCCCTGAAGTGGTCACTACTGCCCGACAGGGCTCTTATCCAAACCAAACCCGATCCGCCGGGCGTCGCCCTGGACATCTCGCACTGGTGCGACTGGCGCGGCCTTGGACCGGGTCAGGCAAATCACGCCGCAGATACACAACCGATCGGAGGGAATCTTGTGGTGACGTCAGCCCACGTACCGCAAACACATGACCAAGGCGAGGGGGCCTTGTGGTGACGTTAGCCCACGTATGAACATAGTCTCTATCCAGACAAAATCGAAACCCTCATAGTCTGGGGAGGAAATATTTCTTTGCTTCCAAATTTTGACCACAACTCTTCCAACAAACGCCGCAGGCTCTGTTGCGACAAACTTTTTGAATTAAGTGCATTCGAGTTAGGACTTCA